TTTGTTCAATTCTTATTTGTTCCAATTAATTCGATGACAATCATATATTTTCGTTTTACAAATCATATGTTTAAGCTTTTGGTTTTGTACTGCTCAAATACATATGTTACTCAATGTAAAAAAAAAGTTTCATAAACTGATTATGTATTGTGCATACTACTGAGAATCAAAACGAAACATTTAGCTGGCATCACAGGAGCTCCTGTGTCGCTATAGTCGCGTGTCTGGTTTGGTGAGCGCGCGGCAATAAGATGAATTTTAAACTTTAATTTTGTTTACTGTACATCATTTCAGCATTCGCCCTTTTCAGATAACACTTCTGAAATTTGTGAGTTTGACAGAACCACCAGCACCAAATTGTCGGGGTACACTGGCAATATACTGGAGCTGTCAAGTTGCCCCCGAGTTGATTTATACAGAGCTGGAAAAAGTGTCTATCTGCTTTGATCGATTCTCTCCATCGACTTTCTCTTTTGATAACCACGGCTATGCACACGCTATTTCAAAAATACCCAAATTTGGGTAGAATCCACCCAGATCTGTCAATCGGATTCATGTCGATGTTGTTCATTTATCAACTTGTTACTGCCAACACAGTTTACCCATTTTTGGGTAGGTTCAGTTTTGACAGATCTGGGTGGATTCTACCCAAATTTGGGTAGTGTTGAAATAGCGTGCAAACAGTTTTTGTCACATAGGGGGGATGGGGGTAAGAAGACCATACGGGGCGAGTTGAGTCACCGTTCGTTTGGGCATAATACCTATTTAACTCAATCTAATTTTTTTACAAACTTGTTGAAAATGCTTCTAATATGCATCTCCATGAAAACCGTATCAAAATTCAATTTCATGCCTAAGATAATAATGGAAATGTAACATTAGATCAAAATTTCTAGAATATTATAAGATATGCAGACAAGAAAACATGTTATGTTTCTATTTCACATGATTCCTGAATATTATTTTCTAGTGAAAACCTGTCAAAACGTTAACTTTTACTAAGGTGCTCATATTGCCCCGTATGGTTGTTGATCGGAGCAAAAACTGAAATTTTTCAAACATGATCATTTATTGAGTCTATCATACTTTATCCATATTTTGAACATTGTATGTTACCGCGAGAGAATTAATCTACAGATCAAAGCCATAAGCAAATCCACATAGTTGCACAAGGTCCGTTGATGTCGATACCAGTTTCAAGAAAATGAAATGAAAAGTAGGGTAAAACAAAAACGATCGCTCGTTTACATAATATGCCTGCACTATTTATCTAGGAACGCTCATGCTTTCGAGTGAAGAATAACACGCCCACGTGCGTATACCCTAAGGCATAATTTTCCCTCTCGGTTGATCCTTAAGGAAGGATATGATTTACTGTTTAAGCGCTACAAATGTTTCAAATTCTTATTTGTTAACCTTCTCAGACCTGAGTAAAATAAACCAATAAACTTAGAAAAATGACGACCAAATCCCGGTTCTGAAAAGGACATAGTACATAAGGACTCAATATATAAGTTAGCCCTTTGAAGGACAAGTGGCATTTTTTCAGCTTAAAGTTAGGAAACTAGTGAAAGGCCCGGTATTAAAAGGGACACGGAAAATTCCGTAAGAACAAGAAAGATTTTTACATAATTATAAATCACTTATGCAATACGTAGACCTAAGATCACTTTGTACAGAAATTGAAAATAAAGTTAAGTTCGAAGCTTACTCCACGTTCTTCATTGAATCCGAAAAACTCTCGATCCTTAGAAGTGAAAACTTCTCTCCTAACGGAGAAAAAAGTAGCTTCAAGAAGCTGTTTTTTGGTATAGGTGTCACAAAAGCGAAAGACTCTCTAATTAGAGAAGAAAGTAGCTTTTGGCAGTGACATTGTATATTATCAAACATATTCCAAAGCATGAGCATGATCACAGCTATCATACATTTATGAATGTTTTTCATGTGTTATGATGTGTTGTTCTTAGGGGGACCATATTGCCCCTATCTACCCTAGCAGCGTTGGAAAAGATCGCGATATTTCACGAAGTTCACAAAGGGAAAAGTTCGTGAGTCATAGTGAGTTTTGGTGAACTTTTCCAACACTGTACCCTAGTATGATAAAGGAGGTTTTTATCTATCATCCAAAGTCAAATACAACAGGGAATGTTGTTGCAGCTGAGTTATTAACGAAAGAGAAAGTCGATGAAGGGAATCGATCAAAGCAGATAGGCCCTTTTTCAAGCTCTGTATAGAAATGTAAACATACAAACACTTCAAATGTGTGTGTGAAGCTGAGAAAATGCTGTCTGACGAAAATTAGTAAACTCCTCTATCCAGTGCAGAATTTTCGAAAAAGATTGTTTTTATAGATACCCAGTACAGAAAAGTCCGTAGATTTACGGAATTGATCAATTTCTACGGTTTAAGTGATCATAGAAATTAACGAAAATGAAAATTATGTATCTGTGATTTTCAGCATATTTCTTTGTAAGATCCAATATGTAAACCACCCTCAACTCATTTCTTACGTGTTTTCTGAGATATAATTCTTTAAATTGAATGTCAAGCCCATCGGTATCAATTATAAATCTTTTGAATCAATGTTTCTTTCCATTTTATTTTTCGAAGTTTGATGTTGAACTCGCTTGTTTGTAGTACCAATTTTAATCCCTAATAAAAAAATATCATGAATCAACGATATCCCATATCATAGAACTATTTCACAAATGTTGTTTAACCAAAATAACCATACAAATTTCATTAGGGATACCAACGGCGTAGCTCGGGAAGGACATACCCCGGAAATCATGGAGCTACTTTGAATATCCTTTGGAGTTATCATCAAAGTCTAGATCTTTGCATCTATCCTGGAAGTCCCCTGGAATCACCCTAGCAGGCATCAGTTTGTCTTGTAACCGATTCGTTAATTGAATTCACATTTTTGTTCGGCCTTTAGAAACGTCCCCCAGACATTATCGATTTTAAAATGTAGGTTGTTGTAAATTTTAAGTGTTAAACTTAATCCTTGTGCGACTTAATCCTCGTCCGGAAGAGTGCCGTTCTTGGCTCGTTGAGAGGCAGGTGATCGGACCAAACAGAGAACTTATTGACGGGTTCTCAGTGAACTTCATAGACAGAGATTGGTCCGAAGGCACCAGTCCAGGCAGACTGGACATGGAGTTTTGATGTCTTTTAGGTTGAATAATGGTACTTTGGAAGCCAGTCTCAGTTGCAGTTTCAGTTGATTAGTTCCAAATTTTGAAAGACAGCCAGGAGCGTAGAACTTCAAGAGCAAGCCATGAAAACTTCGGAGGAATTTGGGATTCAATCCAATCTCCCGGACATGCTGTGAACATGAATTACTCTTGCCCACCAAAGTCCTTTATATTTGTTCTCAAAGTTCTAAAATCTAATAGAAAATTCAAGATAACTTTTCAAACTCAAATTGAAATTCTGCAATCCTACCATCAGAGATCTATTGATCTTAGATTGAAAGTTGGAATGCCTTCAATTTCTTTGAGCTTATGAAGTTGCAATACTCCTTAAACCATAGAAAAATGCTTCTCCGATTTACTGTTCTGCCCGTGTTTTGGTCAGAGGAGCGGAGCGACGGTCAAGCATCTAGAACGAGCATTCAAAAAAAGCTTAAACTAGACACTCGCCCGTCGCTCAGCACCTCTGGCAAAAAAACAGGCAGGGCAGTAAGTCTGAGTATGCTACACAGTAAAAGAACATTTTTCCTAGATTTAAGGAGAATTTATTGCGTTACATCTAAAAAGGGCCTAAGTCGAAAATGTAAACAAACCATAGAATGAATTGTAAATATTTCCGACACTATTTAATTCATATGTAAGGAAATTTGAGTATTTTAGGCAATTATATTGTTCACAATAACAATAGTCAGTGTTCACTCGGCTGCCGACAAAAGCAGGCCACTCTCGATGTGTGCTACGCGATCGTCTGTTTTCTCGGCAGCAACCATTGTGTGGTCCTCCTCATTGTTCTTCATCAGCAGTTCCTTCGGTCGATGCGTCGTCGACTTTGGAAAGCAACCTTTTCGTGATGAGTGTGTGAGTGCTGACCACGTTTTGCGTCCATTGCTACCCTCGTTGGCGTACTACAATTTGCCATACAATGAAACTACTGGAAGCGGCTCCAGTTCTGATGGAGGAGGCTTTTTGGATAGCGGAAGATAAAGTATTTATTGTGTTGTACCTTTTGACTATAGTTTTAAGATGTATTGTATAGTGACCAAGAATCCTCGGCTCTGTAAAGTTAATTCGGTTGAGCCTTATCAAATAAATTAATAAACAAAAAAAAAAAAACAATAACAATAGTAACTATATCTCAGTACACAACATACAAAATATACAAAATGTTTTCAAAAATACATGATAGTCGATAACAATTTAATTTCATAAATTAATAAGACTTTTTGTTAATCTTTCAATGGCTTGGCCCTTTTTGTTAAGCCCTTGTGCTTGTCATCAGAAATGGTAGGCACTTTGCAATGCCTTTTCTTAAAGTCAAATAAATGCAAAACAAATCATCGGTGCTGCCTCAAACTGTGTGGTCTAGCTTTGATATGAAAAACTTCAATCATCGGCCCATCTACGTCACTAGACTTATCAATGGAACCTAATGGAACGAAAAAAATAAATTTGTTTTATTTTAGTATGTGAGCCTATAAGTGATTCGAAAAATTTCGTTCATCGGCTGTTATTTTTAGTTATTTTTAATGATTTATATTGAAAATTGCGAAACATCTCCATACGACTGGTAGCTGTTTAGCGATGCTATAGGTATCAAATAACGATTTATTCACATTTTGATCATGGGCCCATTTCAAATGTTACGCGAGGTTTCATCGTTTTAATATTGTAAAAACCTTTTTCTGATCCCCCAAAGCATCGACATAATCGTATTGAGTACCTCTTATCTACGGCGATGCTCTCAAAGAAATCTGGCTTAAGGGAATCTCTTGATATTGACTCTATTGAATACATGCTCAGCATGGTTGCAAAACAATTTATTACATAAAAAATATGTTGTAAAAGTACAAAAAAGTTGAATGATTCCATTGTTTTGTGTTAATCGTCGTTCGTCCTATGAATAAGTTTTTACTTAACAAAGATGAAAATACAATAACATGTAAAGCTCTAAATATATTCAAGGCACCGCACAAGCACTTCTAATTGCTCCAATCACATAGGATAGGGGACGGCTTTAGCAGGGGGAGGTGCTATTCCAAGCAGGGGGTAAATAATAACTTTTTGAACTCGATTTGGCTCATCTCCATTTGACCATTTGGCATACATGTGGACAACTTTACTTATGTAATAGATATTTTACCATTTGGGCTGTACATCATCGGAATAAGAAAGAACAGCCCATAATAGAAAGAAGGGAACATAATTATTTAATGGGTATTTTCCCTTCTTTTCAATATGAGCTGTTCTTTCATACTGTTATACCAAATGGCCCTTGTCTCCCCCCACTTCATAAGCCGTTCTCTATCCTATCTGGCATACAGGAATCTCTGTATTTTTCCAGATACAGAGTAATCAATAGCTATCTAAAATCACGAAAATACATAATTTGATGTGCACGTACACATTGGCACTAGCCCACTACCCTCAGGAGTAGTACCGCCGAACTTCATCCAACAATCGGTCGATGGTGCTCTCCTCCACCGGAATGAACCGTTTCGAGTTACGACTAAAGTAGTAAATGTCACCCGTGTAGATGTCGAACCACAGTGCGTGGATGTGCAGATCGTGCGATTCGAGCCGTTTCTTCAGAAACCCGTATGACGCCACATTCTCTATCTGCTGCAGCGTGTTCACCTGCGACAGCTTGTCCTCCAGTGCGAACTGATTTTCCGGGTCGATGTAGGCGACAAACTTGCGCAGCGGCGTTTCCGACGAGAATATCAACGGTTTATCCAGTCCGATCTGCTTCAGGTTCTGAAACTTTTCCAAACTGGTGTTGGCGTGCTCGCAAAGCCACGCCCTCAGCGGCGATATTCGACGGTTTTTCTGGAAGGAACAGAGAGGTTGTTACCTTGGGTAGATGTTTGATTGGAAAGAGAACTTACCCTGGATGCAAACTCCGGATCCCTCAGCTGATAGAGCAGGTTCATCGCTTTGCAATCGCTGTGACCACACACGATGATGTGCTTGATGTTGTTAACGACACATCCCAGCTCCAGGCCGGCCGGTTCACAGCTAAAGTACTCGTCCTGGAAGTGCTCTGCATGTGGCACCAGATTGCCGGCGTTTCGTATCACGAACATGTCTCCCACGTGGGTATCCGTGTACCGGGTCGGAATCATCCGGCTGTCCATGCAGGTGAAGAATACCGCTTTGGGCTGGTGGGAGGAAGGAACAGAATGAGAGTTGTTATTTTATATAGAACTTTAAATTGCTGTCTATAAGACGAGTCGGACGGGATCTTTCAAATGTTTTCGATGGTGTAATCAAGATATTTGGTTATTCTAATCCTTGCAGATCATCTCTTTGAAGATTGTTGATCTTCCAGGGAAAGTTTGGACAACTTCCAGAGGAAGTTTGAAAAGCTTCCAGGGGAAGTTTGGAAAGATTCCAGGGGAAGTTTGGAAAGCTTCCAGTGGAAGTTTGGAAAGCTTCCAGGGGAAGTTTGGATAGGTTCCAGGATAAGTTTGGATAGGTTCGAGGGGAAGTTTGGAAAGCTTCCAGTGGAAGTTTGAAAAGCTTCCATGGAAAGTTTGGAAAGCTTCCAGGGGAAGTTTGGATACGTTCCAGGGTAAGTTTGGATAGGTTCCAGGGTAAGTTTTGAAAGCTTCCAGGGGAAATTTGGAAAGCTTCCAGGGGAAGTTTGGAAAACTTTCAGGGGATGTTTGGAAAGCTTCCAATGGGAAGTTTTGAAAGATTCTATGGGAAGTTTGGAAAGCTTCCAGGGAAAGTTTGGAAAACTTGCAGGGGAAGTTTGGAAAGCTTCCACGGGAAGTTTAGATAGCTTCCAGGGGAAGTTTGGAAAGCTTCCAGTCAAGTTTGGATAACTTCCAAGGGAAGTTTGGAGATATTCCGGGGGAAGTTTGGAGAACTTCCGGGGGAAGTTTGGATTTATTACAACTTCCCCGGAAGTTTGGGGATGCTCCAGAGTTTGATTGCGGTTCCATTAACTTCAGGAAAACTGCAGGAACTTTTAAGAAGTTCTGAAACTTCCGGGTAAGTTAGGTAAGTTCACAGGGTAGGGTAGGTTCCGATAAATTAAGGTGATACTCTAAGGAAGCCTTAGCATGAAACTTTATAGGCACAAATGTCAGCTTCCACAAAACATACAAATTTGAAATTGCTACTCCTTGTTTGCTGTGCTACTACAAACAGGGAGTAGCATTTTCAAATTTGTATGTTTTGTGGAAGCTGACATTTGTGCCTTTGAAGTTTCACGCGAAGGTTTCCTTAGAGTATCACCTTAAAGACAGTTTCACTAAGTTTATTAAGAGGAAGAGAACCCGGAAATTTCAGGAAAGTCCAGAGAACCCCAGTAAAGGAAACATCGGAAAAAAATCAGAAAATTCACAAATCCAAAGAACTTCAGGGAAATGTATTAGTTCTCTGGACAGTTCCATTTGTTTCAGCAGAATAGAGAGACATCAGGACAGTTAAATTAATTTGGTGTAACTTTAAAGGAGTTCCGAGAAATTCAAGGGCAACACAGCAAAAAAAAATCTGAATTATAATGGTGATGTAAACATTCATTCACGTAAACTTCCATTTCATTCCACGCAAACGAGCAACTTGTAAGCAATGTTGTTCACAAATATGGGCTTCAGATGATTTATAATGTAAACATAGATGAGATGTGACGCTCCTGTTATGTGCATCATATTGAACAGATGTTTACACTACTTTTTCGAACTGTGCACCCACAATGGACACGTTGCGTTTGCGTGGTTTAGACAGTTATCTGTCAAACTTACGTCAACGAAACGCAAACAAATCCATTGAGGGTCAACCTGGTCTATACAAGGTGTGGAGATCTAGCACTGACGTATGCGTTGGTAGAGGAAAAATGTAAACTTTGCGGGAGACGATGGTGACGACGCCATAACACTCGAAAGGAAATTTTCGAAATAAGAAGTAAAACAAATCCTAGCTATTTTTGCATGATGATTTTGCTTGGTTGTATTCTTTTGTAAAGTCGCCGCGAAATATCAGCTGGCAATTTTTATTTTATGATAACTCCTTACTTGAAAACAGGTAAAAACTCACAAACAGACTGCTTTTTCATAGTATACAGTGTGATTATTCGATAATCAATAAATTATCTCAACATTTAGTGGCAGACCATTCATAAATTTTGGTAAATACATAAATTCATAATCCATATTAATTTTTCTATGCAAGCGTCGACCGAAACAAACGCTATTACGTCACTACAAGGGAGAAACGAATCGTGCGAAGCGGAATGAAAGCCGAGTAAAAAACGAAGTGCACCAATACATTCAGGCCTACAATTCCACACCTTGTATAGACCAGGTTGATTGAGGGTGGCCCTGCTGGGAATTTCCGAAAACTTCAGCAAAGTTCCGAGACGTTCGTAAAAATTTTGAAAATGCATGGAAGTTACATGAACTTAAAAAAAAAACTGTTAAGGTATTAGTACACGAGACAAATATTTGTCTTAATTTGGCAGATACATTTAATGTATCTGTCAAATTAAGACAAATATTTGTCTCGTGTACTGATACCTTTAAAACATTTTAAGGGAAAATCCGTGCAAAATTGAAGTTTCGAGAACTTAAAAAATTTAAAACAAATGAGAACATCATGTATCTTCAATGCTGATGCTGACATTGATTTCAAGATACTAAACAAGTTCCGAAATTTTCAAGGAACTACAGAGACCTTCAAAGAGATAAGAGATTTTCCGATAGTTTCATTATAATCAGGGAAGCTCCGATTTCAAAGCAGCCCTATTAACTTCAGGAAAATTGAAAGATCTTTCAAGGATTTCTGAGGGATTGTGGTATATTCCGAAGTGCATTTAGGGATGGAATATCTTCTTCCGGAATTGATGCCCAACTTCTCCTTAAAGTTTCTCTCGACTGTTCCGTAAGCTTCCAAATTTCTTCAGAATTTTTTTCCGCCTTAGGGAGTTTCTTCCAGCGTCTCCAGGAAGTTTCTTCCGTCTTCTACAGTAAGTTCCATAAAACTTCTACCGGACACGCAAACCATAAATGTATTACTTTGAATGTTAGTTGCATCTCCTATTTTTATGTAGTGTTCGGTCTACGCTTTCGACTATACCAGCATTCATTTTATTTATAATATTGTAGAACGACGCACACCGAGCAGGAGTGGAATGTTGCTCCTGATACTAAAATTTGGTATTCATCAGCCTGACATAAGAGGTAAAATACCAAAGAATATACCAAAAAATTGCATGCAAAATACCATCGAAATAACAAAACTTGTTATGTTGATACAAAAAAAAAAAAAACCTGTGTGGCATCGTTTTGGCATTTTGAAATGATATTAAGGGAACATTTTTTTGGTATTATTCATTGGTATTTTACAAGTCCCCGGCAAGGTGACAGATAACCTTAGTTTCACGTACCCACTTGCAAATAGTAGATGTCGCCACACAACATAAACAAAGGGATTGTCCTTCACCGCCGCAATGGAGTTTCTCTATGGAAATCCAACTTTTTGTTTCTCCATGTGTGGATGTCAAACAACAAGCAAGAATGCTATATGATAAGAGCAAATTTATTATTGGCGAAATGAAATATTCCAAACAAACTGAAACCGATTGATGGAGGTTCATTTTCTTATATAATCAAATGACAAGAAAAATACTTTGCTGTCTTCTATTTTATTTTCCTCTTGAATATAATCAGCCTACAGATTTCTTGTTTTATTCATAGTGGTGCGATAAAAGCTTGCCATATGAATAAACAAAAGTTTACTTTCCCGTGTTTCTCTATTATTGTGTTCTTGTGTTCTTGTGTATTCTTCTGACATGCAACCCTAATAAAAATGTTATGGTTAATTTGCTTAACGACGTGTTCGGGGTATCATCCAAACTATGTGTGGAATAGTTCAATCATTTGGGTTATCGTTCGTTTATGGTAATTTATTATTAGCGAAGACTTCGGAAATTAAATTGAAAATACTCAATAATCACCACAAATATTTCAACGTTGGAAGATATTACGAACGGCTTGAAAATAGAATCCTAATGAGCATGTATGCAGGATGCAGCAAACAATCATCGCAATATCTTGATAAATTAAATAACGGTCTCGCAAAAAAAAATTATAGTGAGCTTCTAAAATTAATGAATTAAAGTGATTATCTTTTGTTACATCCGTCCGTATCATTAACGTTATTCCTCACCAAACTCGAAGCCTCAGAAAGCAGATGAGTCCATAAATGTGTATGCTCTATTATTTAGTTACACAGTTATGGGCATAGTGACAATGACAATACAAATACCATGAAGAACGCTGAAAATGTAGTGATCTTATAAGTGAAGTGATTGTTAATCAGAATTTTCTAGAATATTAGCTGAAATTGAGCTCTGATGATTTTTGCACATAAGTAATGGTCGCAGATCCGTTGTAGCAAGATATTTAAAATTTAGACAAATTGAACAATATATCATATATTTAGCTTAAATTCACATACGTACATAGTACACCGTTGTACTATTGGGAGATTGCCGTAAAAGCTCAACGCAGATGTCGCCACTGCATAATGATGATAATGTTGACAGACTGCATATAAAATTAGTGAAAATTAGCATTAAATCATTATGTTCATCAAGCCTTCATAAAATCCTTCCAATATAACATTCGAATTGAAGAAGAAAACGTTTTTACGATAATACTGATGTGAATCTTTGACTTTTCCAGATGAACTTTTATAACATATATTCATTTCATTTCACGGCTCCATCAATGCTGCATCGTAAACAGATGTAAATTGCTCAATTACTCAAAACCATCTAGCGCCATTTTATAGTATGGTGCGTGTTGAGTAAAGCAAGTTCCGTTGCGATTTCCGTCGAAAATTGTTAGTATCAATATGTTTGCCTAAAAAAGGCCAAAATGAACATTTATTGAATATTGGCGTCCTATACAGTCAATTCTCCATTACAACCTTTCCTAAGTAAATTCACTTAATTTCCACTTTCATCTTAGTGGAAATCACACATATTCACCATTTTCCGATAAATGCAGCTGCGCTCTTCCTGTGGGTGCAAACTTGTTATGCATAATTTACCATGAAAACATCTCCGATCCATACCGAAATAATAACAGTTAGTTTTCAAACACGTTTTCTTACACGATTCAAGCAAAACCCAACATACAATTTGAGTTGATCAACAGCTGAATAAGCTATTTTTAAGCTGAAGAAGCTTATTTTTGCCTGAATAAGCTCTTATTCAACATTCAATGTTTGTTGGGAAGTCTCCACGGGAAATTATTAGTTTTTCTTTATGGACCGATTTGCCCCAAAATCATCTGTTTTACTTAGAGAATTTGGAAACTATCCTCCTTCTAGTAGTTCTCACTTCGAAATGTAGGTAGCGAAAGCTTGGAACAGTTTCACCGCAAGACGCCAATCGTTGAATACTCGTTGTACTATCATTGTAAAAATGTTGTACTATTTTATGTCGGTACCTCAAATTGTACATTTTGCAGTACTAGCTGCGTATAATTAGTACACTCTTACTCGCGGCAAAACCATGCTTTCTTTTTTCATCATCGGCGATAATAGCGATAGAGTTGAAAACACCGAAAGTATCCTTGTTCAATTCTCATTTGTTCCCATTAATTCGATGACAATCATCTATTTTCTTTTACAAATCATATGTTTAAGCTTTTGGTTTTGTACTGCTCATATACGGTACACACACACAAAATATTCATAAACTGATACTGTATTGTGCGTACTACTGAGAATCAAAGCGAAATTTTTAACTGGCATCTTTGGAGTTCCTATGTCGCTAACATCGCGTGTGCGGTTTGGTGAGCGCGCGACAATAAGATGAATTTTAAACTTTAATTTTGTTTACTGTACATCATTTCCGCTTTCAGTGGCACCGGTGGTGTAGTGGTAAGCGTGATTATCTCTCACCCCAGCAGGTCTGGGTTCAATCCCAGTCAGCGCCGCCGGGATGTTCTGAGGCATAACATCTCTGATCACGCCTTCCTTCGGAAGGGAAGTAAAGCCGTTGGTCCCCGGTTCATGAGTTGATGGGTCGATAGGTAGGGTCCAGGTGTGGGAGCTGCCTTCCTGGCGTCGGTAGCATTGGTGCTCAGCACGAAAAACAAGATCGACGGAAAACAAATCAAGGAAAAAAAATCATTTCCGCATTCGCCCTTTTAAGATAACACTTCTGAAATTTGTGAGTTTGACAGAACCACCTGCACCAAATTGTCGGGGTACACTGGCAATGCTGGCAATATACCGGAGCTGTCAAGTTGCCCTCCGAGTTGGGTTTTTACCTCTTATGTCGGGCTCATCCATCAGTGCTCAATATTACCTGTTAAATTTCTACCTTGTTCGACTCTTGTTCCTCTTTGATCCTTTTTTGGACCCTATCTGAGGTAATCCTGCTTAGCCATCGAAATTGATTTAGAGAAAAAGTATAAATTTCTATTTTAATATTCTTCTTCGACCCTTGTTTGGACCCTAATGCTTGGATATCGATTTGGAAAATTCTTCTTCGATCCTTTAGATTCTTATAGTAACACTAGTTTACAAAAAAACATAGAAAGTGTGAACTTTAGTGGTTGACGAACGTTTCTAATGCAAAATCCTACGCTGAATTCAATGCCGTGGTCAGAAAAAATTAAAGTAGAGCCATTTTTGAGATATACAAAAATTTTGATTTTTTGAATTTTGGACAAAAGTACGATTACTAAAATGTCAATGTCTTTGGAACTAAAGCACCAATTTTAAATCTTTTTTTTATGAAAACGAAGCTAAATAAATTTGCTATCGTTCACTAGAATATTATGTCTTAATTAAAAATTTAATTTTGAAGTCATTTAAAAATTTACAGCATTTTTTTTATTTTTCCTGTGAATTTTCCATAAAAATCTTGTTTTAATCAAGTTAATAGAACAAAGCACTACCATGCTGTACATAAATTGTTTATATGGAAGTTATTAAAAAAATCATTTTACCTTGCGCCTGACATCCACCTAGCCAAGCACGTTTTGCACGAACTACATAATACTTTTGGAATCCACGGTTCGTCAAAGTCTCCAGGATCAATTTTAAAATAAAGCCTGTATGCAGTTTGCAACGAAGCAGTGAAATTGACCGATTTTGTAAATATATAGTTGCCACATGCGTAACAAAACTTTTGAGGATCATTTTTACACTTGAATTCACGTTTTGTCGTATACATCGTTAAGCAATGTTAAAGAAAGAAAGCTGTCAAATTGAGTTGGTTGCGTAGGTTCTCGCCGAGCGGTCTCACAAACACTAGCGTAAATTATATTGTTGAAAATATCCCATTTAATTTTGCGTGACAGCTGGTAGTGTAAGTGAAATGCACCGTATGCGTACACGTCCGCAGAAAGGCTTACTGGAAGTGGTGCATGAACCTAGGAGCGGGACAACGGCCAATCTTGGAACATTCAATTTCCATGATTTTACAAAAATGCTCATAACTTCGACAATTTCCAACCGATTTCATCCATTAAAGGCTCATTTTCTCCGGTTTTGAATGGACTTTAAGAATAAATTATGGAATGATTTTTTGAATCTTTTCATTCCATTAAAAATGTTGATTAAAACAAGATTTTTATGGAAAATTCGCAGGAAAAATAAAAAAAAAATGCTGTAAATTTTTAAATGACTTCAAAATTAAATTTTTAATTAAGACAAAATATTCGATAGCAAATTTATTTAGCTTCATTTTCATAAAAAAAGATTTAAAATTGGTGCACTAGTTCCAAAGATATTGACATTTTAGTAATCGTTCTTTTGTCCAAAATACAAAAAATCAAAAATTTTGTATATCTCAAAAATGGCTCTACTTTATTTTTTTCTGACCACGGCATTGAATTCAGCGTAGGATTTTGCATTGGAAATGATCATCACCTTACCGAGTTCAAAAATGCTGTAAACTAGTGTAATCTGTACCTTAACCGGTTTGTGACAAGTTTGCCTCTAGGGGAACCTTCCATGATAATTTTTAAATCCACACACCTGGAAAAATATTACCGACTTCGGTAATTTTTACCACACTTTCAACAGTTGAACTGTTCGGTAAAAATCAGACATTTAATTCATTACTTTTAAGGACTCGATTATTTAAATTTTGTCGTAAATTTGTCGAACCTCTTAACGGACTCCGTTTGTGAAGAGCTTTGAGTGGGTTGGTTTATTTCCTTTAAATTCCGTTATAATTGCTTTTCTTTTGACAGATACGCGTATTTCGTCTACTACTTGCAGACTTCATCAGTGCCAAGTACAGTGGTGTTGAGTACTTGGCACTGATGAAGTCTGCAAGTGGCTGACAGTGTTTTGGAAATAAAATTTAGTTAAACAGCCTTTGAAATGAGGGTCTAAGTTTTACCGAATGTAATGCTGTTGAACGTTCGGTAAAAAATTACCGAAGTCGGTAATAATTTCTAAGTACAGGTTCAGAACGCTATTTTAATTACATTGTACACAACATTGATGTCATCAGTAACCCTAGCATGCCTTCCCGTACACCATGTAGCAAGTGCGCAGGTCTTCCTCGCCACGAGCCCATCTCTCTATCTCTTTCTCAGTGACGACACTGAGTAGCTTTCCAAACATTACTATATACACCTTCGCCGTGCTACACCTTGAAACAGTACGCTGACCTTACTAGAAATGGTAGCCACCGTTGCACACTGACCTGTGGATTGTCTCGAACTTGCTTAAATTCCTTCACCATCTGCTCCCTGGTGGTATACCGGTATCGCATCACTCCACGCAGAATTCGCTCCATGACTCAGTTTTCCGTATGGACTAATAGCACTAATTTACTGGACGCAAAATAGAGAACTAGCAACAAACAGCACGATTATCACTTTGCCTCGGTTAGCGACATCATTGTACGATTGGATTGGTAACAAATTATCACTTCTTCGGTGCAAATCTGGTTAAGTAACATAGATTTCGGTAAAATTGTTTGTCAATAAAACATCCTTATGGCTATAAGCGATTCAATAAATACACTCTATGTACGTTCCGACTAGACCAGCTCAGGCAGAGTGTAAACATTGCTGACTGACTGACTAACTGACTGACTTGTTGTTCGTGTTCGTATTCGTATTCGTACGAAGTTCCACCAACACAGCACAGCGCACGTGCTCCGTGGATGGAGAAATTATTTATACTGTCTACAACACAACGACGGCGGTTAGGTTGGAACGACGACCAATGCGTTCAAAATTACGTCATGAATACTCTCTTTCACGATCGACTTCTCCGGCACCGAGAACCCGGCAAGTCGAGAAAAACAAGTCACTCTATGCGACGTCGCCGGTTTCAAAAACGCTCCACGCTGAGCTCAAGCCTCTATCCAAGGTCATCTAATTACTAAAAATGTGTCCTTTAACGTACACCGAGCCGACAAAGTGGGTCACAGAATTATTTCAGGTAGTACGTGCAAGGTTCACCAGTGAAATAGTAACCTGGGTCGGGGTCACGCCTGGTTCGTATCAACGTTCGAAAATGACTAAAGCAACCACACGTCCGAATAACCGATCAGTCGGTGAACGTTCTTATCGGTCGGTGGGGCGCCGGGTTCATAACACATGTATGTTATCACAAGTTTTGCCAACATCTCTGAACGGTAGCAAACTAGATGCATAAAGGTACACTAAACATGTACATGTGTATAGGTCGGACTACGGCTACAAATGATGCGCACAACAGAGTGTCACTAATCGTTTAAGCTTCGTCCAAGTGAATGGGAATTTGAACGGAGAGAAATCAATTCCAAGTTCGATTTTTCATCAGTTCCACAATGCTGAATAGATAAGCTACTCACAATAATATGATGGATCCGTTTGATGGCTGACTCTGTATAAAGCGTTCGCGGGTCTTAAAATTAACGTGGTTTGCAGATTTCCATCACTTCCTGTAATGGTATTTTTTTTATAATACTGTCCATTTCTTAAAGCTTTCAGAACAACCCATTTCGCAGAGCAGTGAAAGATATTTCAAACAAAAGTGCACCTCCCACTGAGTTTTGTTTTACCTTAGTTGACAAATTAAAAAAAATCTCACATTACAGGTATACCTCGTTATAACGTAACTGTCACTAGTTAAAATTCAGCGATGGAAATCAAAAGTGGCAGTTACGTTATATCGAGGTATACCTGTATAAGGCATTTGAATTCAAACTAGTTAATTCCGTACTCTTGATCGCTATTTCATGGCTTATACCAGTTTATACCTTTCTTGATGAAATCATCCTCAAATTATGCAAAGAGCAACAAAATCACACTCCGCAAACAACTCAGTATGGTGGGATCACTTCTCTTTCAGTTTTTTAAAGCAGGACCAAGTGAGAAAGTTAACATACGTCCCGCTTTGAGAAAGTTGGGTGTGTGATTTAATAAACCCATTATTTTATAAATAAGTTCAATTTTACTAACCTCAATTAGGGTAATTTCTGGAATCTAAAACATTCTGGAATTCAAGATGTAAGATCTTTTATTAGGATTTTGGATTTCATTCCAAGATTATGGATCCGTATTCAAGATGGCGGCTGTTCGGTGGAATACGCATCTCAAACAATGGAATAAGGATTGGGTATCTAAAAATTGGGCTTGACAAGTAAAATCTGAAAGTCGATGTCCACCACCAAACTGCGAATCTGAACCCATGCAAAATGGGTATCTACGGAATTGGTGCCACGAGTAGGAGCTGTTAATCAATATTGGAATCCAATATACTGGTGAACCTTCAAAGTGGCGACCTCCAAACAGCGAATACCCATTTCAACCCATGTCCAAACACAAATACAAAATGTCAGTGAACATCGATTTTCAGCTTCTTGCGTATTTGCAGTCCGGAGGACTACATTTTGAAAACGGGAATCACGAAAATATTTGTTTTTCCATAGTTTATCGTGTTGAACGCTGACGATAGTGATAAAGCCCGATTCAAAGTAAATTTGGACGCATTCAAGTGATTATAGCTCAAGAATTAAACAACATACACGGTTGATCAAAACGTCAAACAAAAGGGTATTTATTCAGCTTTCAAACGATATGTATAACAAGTTATTACCACAGACAAACAGACATAACACTCACAATCACATTCATCGCAAATAATCTTTTAGTTGGGAATGTGCTAGCATTTGTCATGGTGGCGCCACTGAAGCATTGAACAAGCCACCCCATTTCGAACTTATCAGTGCTGCCAGTTCTTTTTCACGTCTAGTTAGTAAATGTCAGCTCTTGAAAATGATAATTGGTCAAGACATCCCACTGGAGACACATACCACATCTGACGAATACAGAAAAAAAAGTTGCTGAATATTACATCAAAACTGCTGCACATTAGTCATTCCGTTCCTAATATTACGTTGTACGATGTACACAGAATTCGAGAACAAATTATGTTGATGACTGTAATATTCTATCAATTTTTACCAGTTAATGATGTTCAATACTTCACCATGAATAGCATTGATTGATACATATTATTTTTTTCTTCTGTGTACACATTGAAGTGATGAGCGGTGGTAGAAAAGGCACTAATAAGTGATGTATTACCTTGTTTAAAAACTTGTTTCCAGCAATAGAAAAGCACACTAAGCAAAAAAACAAATCCCTAAAAAAAAGTCTTTGCTTCTGAGAATTTTTCCTACGGATCCAATGCAGAATTCAATCAATTCTATAGATCTTCGGAAAATTTTGTAGAACCGACAGCACTGACTTCCATCTGTTTTGTTTTTATTCAACGTTGACGCTTTGACAGAACGAAGGAAAAGCAACTAGTGAAAAAAATGCATGCACGAGGGATGCTCCGGTTGCAAAACATTGCTTGGGAATGTGGATGATAGATGGTGCTAGCATAGAGGTAACTCTAAGACCAGAAGGTCCCGAAGAAACGTGCTCAACTTTTTGGCTCAGCTCTGGTACTATCTTCGGTCCCAAGCTAATCGATTCACCCCTCGAATCATAGGAAAATCCACTAACCCCTCATTTTATCTGTCAAACTTTCATAGTGAATCAAAACAAACATAGTGTAGTACTGGAATTTATACTAGAATGGGGTACGTTAGTCGATTTGCATGGGACCAATAGGCTAGTCAAGTAGTGAGCCAATTTAAAATCGTTAGTTTCGTATTGATTGTTGGTGCTAGTGAAGCGCCCATACTCCGTTGCGCATCCATATTTCACTCCCGTGTTGAAGTTTCCAACGTAGAGCAACAACTCGCGTGGTCTTTCTTTCTCCGTAAAATGAAAGACAGTGCAATTCCATTTCTACTGTATGGAAAAAGCTCTTTGATGAATCAGTTATCCTGAGGTTGGAACTGTGCTCGTCCGCACCTAGCAAACCTCGGATAACTCATCAGAACAACTGCCCCGATTCTTTATTCTTCGAAACCTTTTATACATGAATTTGTTACTTAAACTCTACACAATAGTTTTTCTCCAGTATGTACATATAAAGCGAGACAGATAGTTTTTCTCTTGGAAAGTCGGTGTCTGTTTTTTTAACAAGAATTAATGCTCCTCGCGGTAGGAACGGCTATGTAGGGTGCTTACTCACCAATGTTTACTTTGACCTTTCTCGAAGCACCTAGTTAAGCCAGCGCGCATCGCTGACGACGCGGTAGCAACTGTTTATAAACAACTGACCCTGGAAATGTGCAACATTGTCACTGCTGCTGTTAAGTTGTGTATTTTCTACTACCGTATGGGGGTCTATTACTGGTTAATTTCTTACTCAGATTGATAATGGATTTTGAGGCCTTTGCATCCCCTCTTACTTAACCAGCTTGAGAATAATATCGAAGAGATTCTTCTCAAGGATATGCGCTGGTATCTATTCTATATTGGCTATTTTTTTTTACTGGATCTTCTTACTATGGTTCTTACTCCTACTGTGCCTTTCTTAAGACCCTAGTTTGTACTATTGATAAACATATTCAGTCGTTCATACTTTAATTAAATTTTGTCATTTGGTTAAATTTTGTCATTCATCTACGTTAACAAGTTTATCACGCGTTTTGCTGATATGAAAATTTGCCTAACTGACTTACGTTAATTATGCGTTTAGTTGAGTTATACCATTCTTGTTGCAATTGATATTTAATGTTAACATTCTATAGAATTATTACGAATACTTCACTATAAGGATTGATGTTAGAATTTGGGGTTGTTGTATCCCCCCTTACTTACTGAGCTTGAGAATCATTTTGCAAAAATTATTATCAATAAGCTTGAGTTGGTAATCTTCGATTTGAAAATTTCGTGCTTTCTTGTTGCCATATTTCTCCTAACCTTAGGGTGATCCTCAATTGTACCTTTCGTAAAAGCTCCTTCGTTTCTGCTCATTCATCCATGCGATTGATAGCTGTTCCTGACTCGTCATTTGGTTGATATCAAATATCAGGTGTGGGTGTATCTGCCATTACCCGCCATCTATGATTCGTTGTTTGCCGCAATCAGGTTACTCTTCATCGTCTTTCATATCTATGTCTTGTACTGATCGCATCTCGTCATTATGTATGTTTCTGTTGGAAACTTTTTAGTGCTATTTAGAACTTCAACTTTCTCTATGGTTTAGTATGATTCCACATCTTTTTTTTGATTTTCGTTATAAGATGTAAACTTGTTTTGGATTTTATCCACGACTGTTTTCTATCTGAGTTTATATATGCAGCTAGTCAATTTATTGTTTGTGCCATACCATGCGTTAGTTGTGTACTTGCTTGTGCTTCATTGACATTTTTGAGTTTGATGTTTAATGATGTCATATCAAACGTTACGTTGTATGTTCTGTAGTTTTATGATGATGTTTGCGAAACCGTTGCTGAAGTAGCTTGTCTTTTAAGATGCTGTGTGATGAGCTTATGCCGAAGATTGCTCATCTATACAGTATAATGTGTTGATCAATTTTGTTATCCTCGATAAACCACTCGATTCCATCCTCCTGTTCCTTATACTTTTCCGATGATCCTACCCAACACCGTCAATCTTCAATCTTCCGCATGATTTGTCTTTCGATTGTCATCTAGCCATTGTGAATGTTACTCTTCCTTCGCTGTTGACGGTCTCTTAGATTCGCCACCTGGTACATCCAAGGATATCCAAAATCGATTTTCCCTTTCTCACTGTAT